GTTCCCATCTTGCTTTTCTTTCCAAGGTTGCTGGGCTCTTTTGGGGTAGGGGTGTTCTGGGGGAATGGGGGCGATCTTGGGTGGATTTTATATTTCAAGATTACAATGATGTGTTGCCTGCTCTTTTTTATTTTTAAATTTCGCTAGGGTGGCTAATCAACTAATTGATTTAATTTCTTAGTGTATTAATTTCTATTGCTTTCTTCTTTTCGAATGCTGCCCCTCAGCCCGTCTGGCATGTTTGATTATGACTTTGAGTAAGTTTGACTTGATTTGACTTAAGTGTTTGTGCTATGATGTCCATGTGTAGCCTTCTCTTTTCCCCTTTGCCACCCTCCTTCAACTTCCCCACGTGCACTTTCAAAACTATTCTAATCCATAGTTTATCTGTTTAATTGTAGGTATGTATATTAGGTTAGGCTGGCAAGTTTTTAAAAATACAGACAAAAGCACAATGGAGGTAACTTTTTATTTAATAACCTTGGCTAAAAAAATTAATTTGGCTACCCTCTTTGCTTCTTTATGTCACTTTGAAAAGCAGATAAACTCCTACTGAATTCTGAAAACTGATTTTTGTTGCTTTGCTTTCTGAAGCCTGCAGATAAGGCAGTTTCCCAAATGCAGAAAATACAATTTGATTCTTATTGGTGTCACTAAATCCTCTGGCTACCGTTTCCTTCTCCCTCCTCTCCCCTCCCCCCCTCCCCCGCTGCCTCCTCTTCTTCCTCCACTGAGTTCTATCTTTAACATGCTAACCCAGCAGATGACGTGTTCCCAGGGTCTCTGGATGCTGCCTAACTCTCTAATGTATTTCTTCTGATTGTCGGGTGGAATCTGCTTTTCGGTGCCATTGGGAGGTGGGTGGGAATGCTACCCTGGCCTGTTCATCTCAGGCTTGTCCCTTTGCTGCCGTGGCCCAGACAGGGACTGCCTTTCTAGCCACCTGTAGGCCAACACTCCCTTCTTCCTTCCTCCCATTGCAGGATTGATCTCAAGTTGAACAAAAAACCACGAGCTGTAAGTATCCCTCCTCTTTTCCTTCCCTGCCCATCTTTCAGTTACTGCACAGTTCTGGGTAGGGTTGAGGTGAAGCTTGCTTAAAGGCAGGGATAGGCAACCTTGGCTCTTTTATGACTTGTGGACTTCAACTCCCAGAATTCCTGGCTCAGGAATTCTGGGAGCTGAAGTCCACGAGTCATACAAGAGCCAAGGTTGCCTACCCCTGCGTAAAGGGGAGGAGAGCGTCCTTCTTGCAGCCTCTGCTTTGGATGGCCGAAGGGCAGCATTGTCGGAGGGGGTGTAATGGGAGTTTGAAGCAGGGTTTTCCAGGGTTGACCCTGTCTATTGCAGGCACCCTGTGGGGCTAGTCCTCAGCTCCTTTGGGTGGGAAGTGGTGCCCGTCCAGTTTGTGCTGGTGTCCCCAGTGATGTTCACTGTGCCCTTGTGCCCACAGGACTACTAGTGGTCCTCCGGGATGAATCTTCCAGGAACTTTTCTCCTTCCTTCCTTCCTTCCTTTCCAAGAGACTGAATAAGCACAAGACCGGCTCTTTCCTGCAGCAGCCTGCACACCAGCAACACTGCTGGCCGAAACAGCTGCTGCCGATTCATCAAGCATAAAATCCATGAAGTCAAGTCCTCTCTACTCGCCGCCATCTTCTGGTTGAATTGTTTTGTCTTATGTATTTGGCTCTTTTTTTAAAAAAAATAAATAAACTTTATTTAATTTTCCATTTGTTAAAGATTAAGACAAATTGTCTGCTAGATGCTTTTATTCTTCAGAGCCCGAATAGTTTTTCAAACTGGGAAGGGTGATTTCATTTTACTCTGAAACGCTTGCTAACAACTTGAGGGGAAAACAAGCAGTCTCCTTTTTTTATACGTATGTCTCCTTATTGTAAATAAAACAAAATCTCCAGTCACTTTAGCTTGTTTTCTGGCTGCACTCATATCTTCCTTGAGAGCTATAGAATGCTTAACCAAAATCAGGGGATATCCTAAATTGTGCTCATGCACAAGTATTAAAGCATAGTCTGATCTAGTAGTGAGGGCACCAAGCTAAAAATTGGGGGATTTGAGTTCTAGTGCCGCCTTCGCCTGGAAGCCTCGGCCCAACCCACCTCACAGGGTTGTTGCAGGGAAAATAGGAGGAAGGAATATGAGGTATCTTTGTTGCCTTGAATTGTAAAGGATAATGGGATAACAAACCACAATGGCTTGGCTTGCAATACAGAAAGGTACAGATGAACTTCCCTTGGCCTTGGGTGTTATGTGAATTCAGCCTCCCAGAGAAAGTCAGGCCAAGGGGTCAGATCCCAAAGCTTGTCTTCTCAGCCACCCACAGGATTCGTGGGAGGTTGGGGCAAAAATGGCCTTTTGGGAGTTTTCTGGAGTTTCCTCTGGGGAGATGGATTCCCAGAGGCATTGGCGTGGGATCCCTGTCAGTTTCCACTTCTGGAAAGATGTTCCTCTAAATAACAAGCCTTTCTGTGCCTCTGACATGTTACCTGGTTAGATTTGGGGGGTGGGGGAGAGCACAGGGTGTGCTCTGTCTAAACTACTGATACAAACTGGGCCCTCTTAAAGATTAGAATTTGTAATAAGTTGAGAGAGACCGTGGAGGTCTTCTCACCCAACCCTCTGCTCAAGCACAAGACCTTATGCCAGTGGTTCTCAACCTGTGGGTCGGGACCCCATTTGGGGTCGAACGACCATTTCACGGGGGTCGCCAAACAACGCAGCCCGCCATTTCCCCCCCCCTTTTCCTTAGCTGTGCTACTCCCTTTTATTCTATTGGCTTTTGAAAGCCAATAGAATAGACTCTCTTGAATAGAGTCTAATTCTATTGGCTTTCAAAAGCCAATAGGAATTGTCCAGGCTGTCTCTGCCCTGCTGAGCCCGCCAAAAGTCCCAATCTGCAAACGGTGTTGCACCAGTTGAGTAGTCCTCGACTTACGACCGGTTGGGGGTCGCGGCATTAAAAAGGTTGAGAACCACTGCCTTATGCCATTCCAGACAAATGGCTGTCCAGTCTCTTCTTGAAAACCTCCAGTGACGGAGCACCCACAGCTTCTGGAGGCAAAATGTTCCATCAATTAATTGTTCTCACTATCAGGAAATTTCTCAATTCTAGGTTCGCTACTAGGACAGCTAGATCCCTCTTGCTGTTACTGCTGTTGAGCCAGGTGCCACCTATTCTATGCCTGTGCATTTGGTTTTTCTTGCCTAAATGTAAGACCTTATGTTTTTCACCACTGAATAGCATTTGTTGGGTAGGGCCTAGTGTTCAAATCTGTCAAGATCCTTCTGGATCCTGAGTTTATTTTTTAAAGTGTTGGCAATTTCCCAGCATCTTGATGTCTGCAAATTTGATGAATTCCACTTTTAGCCCTTTGTCTAGATCCGAGGTCACCAACCTTTCTTGGTTGGCAGACTGGAGGGAAAGGGAGGGGGAAGCATTTTACACATGTGCGCAGGGCTAGCGCTTGCGTGATACTTGCTAGCCCTGGCCCATTATGCACAACACCCTGTTCCTTCCTTCCTTCCTTCCTTCCTTCCTTCCTTCCTTCCTTCCTTCTGAGGTGAATAACACTCAGATGCAACTGGTGGCCTTTTCCTTGCGGAATGGATTCCAAGGGCTTCCCTCCTTTGGCCTAAGGAGTTGTTTTACCATTTCCAGAAAGTCCTGCGTGTCAAGTCTGGGTCCAGAGGTGGGGACTTTCCAAGTTTCCTCCTGGAGTTGGCTGGCCTGGGAGAGGAAGGAAGTTCACCCCTTCTGACCTCTGTCTTGCATTGGTGTTTGGCTCCCTGGCCAGAGGCCGTCAAAACTCCAGCCCGAGGGGGCCGCCTGCCTTCAAAGGGCCCAAAGATAAAAACTGCTGAGGGGGGGTGTGTGTGCCCTAAGGTCAGGCACTCCCACCCAAGCCTGTTTCTGGAGGTGACAGGAAAGTCCTTGAATCAGGGTCACCCCCTGGCTGGATGTTTGGGGAGCCAGAAAGGGGCTTCTGGAGCCCCCCGTGAACTGCCAGGAAAGGAGCCAACAGTTGCCTCCATTCTCTCCCCCCCCCCCCGGCCGTGGGTCTTTCTGGCCTTCTGGCTAAGCAGAGCAGGAGCCCCTCCCCACTTAGAGCCACCCTCCCCGCGCCCCAGCCGCTGCGCCAGGCCGCCCCCGCCGGCAGGAAGCGCCTGGCACTCGGGGAAAGCCCCTGGCAGGAGCCCCGCGTTGGGGGGGGGGAAGCCCCGAGCGTGGGCGCTGTCATGTGCGAACCCGGCCCCGGCCTGGCCGCCGGAGGGCCGCTCGGCAGGCGCCGCCCCGGAATTCAGCACCGAAGGAAGCCGGAGGCCCCGCCGCTTTCTTGCCAGCTGGCGGCCAAAAGCCCCGCCGGGTCCCTAGAACTCCGCTCCCTCCGTCTGAAGCCCTCTGGCCACTGCAGGCGGGTGGTCGTCGGTCCAGCGTCTTCTCTCGGCCTCTGTCCCCCCCCCCTCATGCGCAACCCCCACGGGAGCCGCTCAATTGCCTGCACCGCCACTCTTAAGCATCTTCATCCTCGGCTTTTTTTTCCCCTTCCGCGCGCAGCCAAGTCACGTGTGAATTGCTTTGCAAGTCACCTGGCTAGCACAAGCTGGTTTGCTCGTTTCCCACCTTAGGGTGGCCGCGTTCAAAGCTTCAGGCCGTAAAGCAGCTCTTCCCAGAGCCCTCCTCCAGATGCAGGGCCCCTCGGTTCCCGGGCGATGGGTCTGACTCCAGTTCAGCTATCCTGGAGGGGAGAAACGTCCCTGGGCCTTCCTGGCATCCCGTGTCCGCCTTCCGAAGCCTCTGGGGCAGGGCCGAGGGCCCTCAGCACCTGCAGGAGACGGTGCCCCACCCTTCTGCTTTAAGATGGTCTGTAGCAGCTCAAGGACAAGAGCCAAGAGCAGTTTTAGCAGCCAAAGCTTTCATTTAAACACTTAAAGTTGTTTTGGAAAGAGACTTTTAGGGTTGAAGAAAAGAGAGCACAGCCATTGCAAGGTTCAAGGTTGGTTTATTTTTTTTAACTTGCCTGCAACTCCACCTAGGGCAGAATAAAGCGAGACCAACCGTCACCAAAGCGGCCTCAGCTCAGAAAGCATTTCATTAAAAACTACGACTCTTGTAATTTACAAGTGTGCAAAGTTGTAAGATTATAAATGATTACTAAAAAAAAGCATTTTGCTTACTAATGCGAAACACCACATTTCTGTGATGGATCATAATTAACCAGCTACGCAGGGTTTCTTTGGCCACGTGGCCTCCGCAGCACACAGTGCTGGCACGGCTGACCCATCTCCAGGCAGGGAGAGCAGCAAAGCCTGGTGGCATTGCCAAGTGCCCGCAGGGGCTTCTGCCCTGCTTCTCTCCCAGGCAGAAGCCCTGGGATGACTCCGGCATCAGCCGAAGAACCACTTGAGAGACTGATGCAATGTGCATCAACGGATCAACTGACCCTGGCCTGCAAGTGAATCACTTATTCTGAAAAGGGCCAGGAACAATTGCTGCAAATTCATTACCGAAGGATCTGCAACTGTCCGTACGGGACTTACCAATCCTCAAGACTGAGCCGATAGAAAAGTACAAGCTAAACACGGCCTTTCCCCCAGTTTCCGCTGGGCCTTTCTACAGCCACAGAGAAAGTGGCGGACGTGTCTGTCAGCAGGCAAGCAAGTTGCCCAAAACAGCCGGCACTGAAGAGGTTCCCCAAAATCCCAACAGTCAATTCAAGCAAGTCCCTTTTCTGGAGCCCCTCCAGGTTTCACACGAATGCATTATGCATTTAGTCTTGGGCTCCGTGACATCTGAGCTGAAGATACAAACTCTGGTTTATAACGCTAACGTTGCTAAGATGCCCCACAAGAGTTATTTTCAGCACCGCTGCTCCATCTCAGGGCAGAGGCCACAACCCTCCGAGGAAAGTTGTGCCCAGACTTGCAAGTGCCCAGCATGCAGGACTTGCCTGCCAACATCGGAGGAGGAGGAGGAGGAGGAGGAGGAGGATGGATGCAAAGCGCCTCGTGGCTAGTCCCAGAAGAGAGAAAACAACATGGAGACCTTAGGTAAAATATTTTCAAATCTTACTCTGGAAGAGTAACAGAGGAACTGAAATGAAGCTGAGTGGATAGGATGCAAGTCGGATTTGGTTCACTCTCCACCACAGTACATCCTGCAGCGCCGGGGACTCTTTCCTCCCTCTGATGACTTTTCTGACCGGCCACATCCCCCGGCAGCCATTTGGGGAACAGCTATGGCTATAAAGCCTAACGCCTTCTTCTCTGGCCCGCTCCAATTCTGGCTGCACCCTAGACAGAAAGCAAGCCTGGGACTTGCTCCATGTCCAGCATGAGAAAACGGCTCAGCATTATGGCTCCTGGGGGACCTTCTTGGATTGCTTGAGGCAGATCTTTCACCTCACCCGAGCCACCAAGCCTGGTGCCTGCCCTCCGTGAACGGCTGCTGGATGGTGATCTAAACCGCAGGCAGAAAAGGACGTTTTGTCCCCCCCCCTCCACCCCCATCAGAGTTGGGCTTCCCTCCTCCGGCCGTGTCACACCCCAGGGTGTTGGCTCTTGTACGTGAGGATTTCAACAGCCAGCTGCTGAGGGTCCAAGAGGTGTGGAAAGCGGTTCATGACGGTGTCCACCAGGTGAGGATGGAAGATCCCACATAGCTTGACATGCACTTGGGCACGCTCTTCTGCAAAACTTTCCGGCGTGGCCCAGTGGCGTGAGGAGTCCTCGTAGGCCAGGCAGGGAGCTCTGGGCAGCTCTTGGCGCACCGCAGGCCCCGGATGGTACGGCTCGGACCAGTACTCACGCCCAGGGCCCAGAGAAGCACTGCTGGCCACGTCGTAGCCAGAAAAAGAGTGAGGAGCAACCTGTCCAGATGGGGAGGGCAGGAAGCTCTGAGGCAGGTACTGGCCGTACCTGCTGCATTCCGGGCCAGGAGGGACCCGATAGGCAGGTACCTGCCCCCTGCAGCTGCTGCCCCCAAGCCGCTCTTGCTGGGCCCCCTTGACAGGACTAGCCGAGGGGCTGGGCCACATTTCAGAGAGTTGGCTCTCAAGGGAGCCGATGCCTGAGTCAAGGCGGTCCTGGGCAAGAGAGTCCCTGGAAGGCAGCTGGTACTGATCTGAACTCCTGTAACTGTGGCTCTTCTGGGCTGGGATGCCCTGGGCATTGAGGAAGAAGGGGGGCAGATCGCCATGCCTAATGTGATGGGCAGAGCTCGTCTTCTCAGCCGAGGCCTTCTGCAGGGGGACTTTCTCACCCTCTGCCGCTGCAGAGCCCCAGACCTCCCCGTGGGGGGGCCTCCAGCTCCTCCTCTCCTCCTTGGTGGCTGGCGCAGCCCTGGTGGGGGAGAGCCTGGCGTTGGCCCGGAGCTCATCGGCAACAGAGCGCTGCAGTTGCTGTGGCCGCTCCGGGTGGTAGAACTTGCACTTGATGCCATAGGTGCACTTCTTGCCTGCAAAGATAAAGGCGAGCCGCATGACGGGTGTCCACCCCCCCCCAAGCCCTTCAAACTGCTCTGTCCCGAGCAGGGGAGAGTGGCCTCACCATATGGGCACTGCTGCTTCTTGTGCTCGGGCACGGCTGGCGTCTTCCTCAGGAAATTATCCAGGCTGGGTCCATGGCGTCCCAGGGGGTCATCGGGAGGCATGAACCTGGGGAGCAGAGGAACCATGTCCATCACGAGCTACAGACCCCGAGGCCAGGCCTAGCCCTTCCCCCTTTGCCAGGGCAACGGTGTACGCCATAATGCTGGGAGTCCCAGCGACTCCACCGCCTCCTGAAAGGCTGGCTAGATGTGAGCAAGCCAGTGAGCAGAGATTCAAGACTTTGCTGGGCATGATGTCCAGCTCAAGCTGAAGAAGCCGTCGGGCTGCGAATTAGAAGGGCGCTTCCTAGCCAGGAACTTCATGTCCCAGAATTCTCAGCCATAGCCTTAGGGGCTTATTCCTCACCCCCCAAAACCCTGGTCAGCCTCCTGGTCAGCCTCCAGCCTTCCCCAAGGCCAGGGGTAGGCCACCTTGGCTCTTTTATGACTGGTGGACTTCAACTCCCAGAATTCCTGAGCCAGCCATGCTGAGGGAAAAGGGAGAGGTTTCCAAGCTGAGTTATGCTGACTGAGGAATTCTGGGAGATGAAGTCCGCAAGTCATAAAGGGGCCACAGTTTCCCCCATGCTGGCTCAGGAATTCTGGGAGTTGGAAGTCCACGAGTCATAAAAGAGCCAAGGTGGCCTGCCCAAGGCCAAGGACTTACTTGTCATTGACAAAGGAATACATAAGCAAGCGATCTTCAATGAACTTCTTCCACTCCGGCCGTTCTGCCTGCAGATCCCGATAGACGTCGTTGGAAACCACGATGCCGTCCGACTCCCAGGCTAGCTTCACAATGAAGCGGTCATCGTAGCAGACCACCCGCTTGCCCGCCACTCGCCGGGAAGGGGTAAAGACCAGAATGTTCTTCTTCTCGAGGTCATGGAGGATGTGCTGGTCTGCAGGAAGAGGTGGTGAAGCCCAGGAAAAATCAGGTGAACCAAGCTCGGGGTGCTACAGGTAGCCCCTTGGCAGGAAGGGGCCCTTGGCTGATCTCAATGAGCTGATCTCATTTCCTTCCTTTATGCTGTTTTTTCGTGTTTGTCTAGGCCAGGGATAGGCAACCTCGACTCTTTTATGACTCATGGACTTCAACTCCCAGAATTCCTGAGTCAGCATAGCTGAGTTGAAGTCCATGAGTCATAAAAGAGCTGAGGTGGCCTACCCCTGGCCTAGACCCCTCTTCCTCTTCCTCCATATTCTCTTCTCGGCGCTGCCTCCCACAGCTTTGCCTTTCGTTTAAGTGTCTAAACGAGATCACGCTTTAGAGCAGGGCTCTCCAACCCTGGCAACCTTAAGGCTTGTGGACTTCAACTCCCAAAAGAGCTGACGGAGGAATTCTGGGAGTTGAAGTTCACAAGTCTTAAAGTTACCAAGGTTGAAGCCCCCTGCTTTAGAAGGTCAAGAAAACAAATCAATCCCGTAAACATGCTATAGTTTTTTTTAAAAAGTGCAAATGTAATTTTTGCCATTCGAAACTGCTCTCTGGCAGCACACCTGTCAAGTGTTCAGGTGATTCTAGATAGATTTCCGGAAACAGGGCTGCCTATCTGAATAGCCCCCTATGGCCTTCCTGGTGCTTTGGCCAGCAGCAAAATTAGGGGAGCGGCCTCTTAAAGCCACTGAGAAGCGAAAGTCCCACCACAGGGATGAGAAGGGGCATGTCCCATCCCAGTCAAGTCTTAACCCCCCCATCCTGAGGAAGGAGCACGGGCCTGCCACTAAGCCTCCGCCAATACATGATGGGCATCTGCTGGAGGTTGCCTTGTTACCTGTAATGGCGACATCAGAGCGTGGTTGCTCTTTTCTCCAAGATGGGACGAAGACCGTGACGTCCTTGTGTCCTCGATCCAAAAACCAGGTCACAGCCAGCAGGATCCCTCGGCAGGAGAAGGCGTCTTTGTCTCCATGGCTGCAAATAGAAGAGAACTGCAGGCTCAGAGGCTTCCCCTGCTTTGGCCTCATGCGCTGGCATCGAAGAGGCCATGCGCAGCCATAGGTGAGGACAGAGTTTTCGACTTGTCACGCTTCCCTGCCCTTCTGCTATTCGCAAGCAAGCCAATAGGAGAGAGAGCTGGGCCCAAACTCAACGATACCAGAACATTGACTCTGATTGGAACAGAATAACAAAGTAACAGATTGGAAGGGACCTTGGGAGATCATCTAGTCCAACCCCCTGCTCAAGCAGGAGATCCTACACCATTTCAGACAAATGGCTGTCCAGTCACTTTTTGAAAGCTTCTGAAGGCAAGCTGTTCCACTGATTAATTGTCCTCACTGTTAAGAAATTTCTCCTTAGTTCTAAGTTAAATCTCTCCTTGATTAGTTTCCATCCGTTGCTTCTTGTCCTGCCTTCAGGTGCTTTGGAGAATAGAGTGACCCCCTCTTCTGTGTGGAGATATTGGAACGCTGCTATCATGTCCCCCCTTGTCCTTCTTTTCACTAGTCCAGGCGTACCTAATTCCAAATGTCTCAAATGGATGAGGAACCTGCAGGGAAAACACTGCATTCTTGAAAATGACTGTGGCCTTGCTCATGTACAGAGAGGCAGCTCTCACCTCTACCTACCTGTTCTGGGCCTCGCCCTTCTCTTCAGCCTGGAGGGGCTGTTCTGCTGACCCCTTCTCCCTCCCTGGCCTGTCTTCAAGATGCTTGGGAGATGCACCCACCTCCTTCCCCCCTGCCCTTCTTCTGCAGCTTCCTGCCTCTCTTCCCAGGTGCCAAGATCTTCCCTCGGTGCCAGAAGGATTGGCCCCCTCTCCTTGGGGCTCCTGCTAAATCCCAGGGGAGGCCAGGGTGCTGGGGGAGCACCCATTGTAATTTTTTGCTAGGAAGCACCTACCCATTTGCCTTTCAGCTGGTCACTGAGAAATATGTGGATATAAGGAAGGCAGCTTATTGTACTTTCAATTATTTATGATTCAGAGCAGCATAATGTCATGAATAGGCTTGCATTATGGGGTGCTTTAGGAGGATGTGGAGGGAGGGCCTGCCTATGGAATGCAGTAAGAACAACAAAGCGTGGCTGAGAATCAAGGGAAATAAGTGGCTCAGCACTGGCAGAAGGACTTTCCATGTGGGAAACGTGCAAGGTGTCCTTGTGGTGGCTTTGTAGGTGTGTGTTAGCTGGAGATATATTTTTCAAGGCTGGGAGCCTGAGCTATTTGCAGCAAATGTTCAGATAGGTAAATGTGAGTAGAAATTTGGCGGCCTTATTACAGTGTTCTCACTGAAAGAATGAATAAAGGTACTTGAACTTGAAAACAAATATTTGATGAAAGAGCCAGGATCCTGAGAAAAAAGGAAAGCAGTTGTTGGATAGTGAGACTGGTGAGATTCTTAAGAAGAATGAGACGTTTGAGGCGAAGAAGGCAACGTGCCAAGGGGTCTATTGGCAAACTAGAAAGGAATGGAAAAGTATCAGCAGATGGTGTTGACACAGAGGAGTTTGATTTCCTTCTTTGTTTCTCTTTATCGCCTGCTTTTAACTGCCCTCGCTCTCCTATTTCTCACCCACTTTTGCATCATGTCACTTACTCCAAAAGACGGTGGTAATGTTGGGCAATGAAACTGACCTTTCCTCCAAGCAAATACAGCTTCATTTCTCAGTACTTCTGCTAATTACTTGGGGGGGAGGGCTGAAGACTCACCCTCAGGAACCTCCAACTTCTCCATGACTACCCAAAGACCTTCTTTTGCCAGAGAAATGCCTTGTCCCTCTCTGCCACAGAGAAGGGAACTCCAAAGCTCCTCTAGACATCCCCTAGTTTCTGCCCACTCAGCAAGACAGGGCAAGCCCTTGGCATTTGTGCAGTTTTACTTTCAGCAGTCAGACATAAATGGCCCTCCGTGTCAACAACTGGCATTCCTGTCTCCTTGACAACTGAAAACGACGGCCCTGCAATTTAAAAAATTAAGAGCTGTTCTGAAATGAGAGTTTTCCCGGAAGGTACAAGCAGTCTGTTGTGCAGTTTGACAGGGCTGGGCCTGGTTGCAGCAGGTTCTTCCCTGCACGGCCTCCGAAAGTGACCCCCCCACCCCTGCTGTTCCCCTTACTCAAATCCCTCATCTGGAAACAGAGGAGTTAATGTTCAGTGCGTGCATTAATAAGACAGCCAAAGCAGTAGAGCAAAGAAAGCTATGAACAGCAGAAAGGAGGGCTGCCAACTGGTGGAGCTGGCACAAGAACTAGGCCTGGCACGGGGGAACTTTTCCCTGACCTCCCCCCCCCTTCAAGGTGGAAGGCTGGCCCTCAGTTGTCCTGCCAGGAAGAGGCTTTTTTTCCCCCAACTAAAGCTTCAGGGCTATCTTGATTCACACAGAACCAGTTCTGCAAGTCCACTTAAACCAGGGAACCGGAAGGGCTTTCTCGTTAAAGCAGCTCCTGTGGTGAGACCAAACCTTGCACATCACCAGTCCCCATGATGGGTCTCAGGGGCCCGGTCGAAGGGTCATCATGGTCACGTTCAAAACTCCTTGCAGCTTCATCCAAACGAAGAACCCCTTTCCCTTCACGTGCCCACCACCCTCTTTCTCACACAGCACAAAGCTCCTACTTCCTACACAAAAGCCCTAAGCGAGACTGAAGCGCCAGGCAGGATGAGCCAGGAATGCCAAGGACAGATCTCCTCCAGCGTTTCTCCATCCTCAACTGAAAAGGTCCAAGTAGTTCATCTGATGTGGCAAGAGACGTGAGAAATTCCCGTAGAAGGAAGTCGGGGAGAATTCTGCTGCACACACACCCCTCCAGGATTTGCATAAACCTGCCACAGAGTATTATCCAAGCAAGGGTGAATCGGTGAGGAACAGTTTGTCACTGCACTCATGCAGGAAGCAGTCTGTAAAAATTCCCCTTTGTTTGTTTTTTTTTTCCTCGAAAAGAGATTGCTCAGAAACTCCGTCTCTGCTGCTCCGGGCACCGCTCAGAACCCCCACTGGTGCCCCCTCCCTCTCAAGTGCCCTCTGGCCGGCATTTACAGCCGGAGAGCAATTTGGCTTATCTTAAACACAGCAAGGAAATGGCAGAAGTCCCTAAATGCTGCCTGGCTGGCCTCTCCCCGCTGTGCAGACTACCAGGCCTGGGCTGCCAAGAGCAGAATTAGGACTGGCTTTGTCTTTTTACTGCCATCTGGCGGCGGTCCAGACTTTTGCAGCCCCACCAGGTTCAGTGGTTAACCCAGCGGACGGCGCGGCTGGGGAAAGGGGACCAGGAATGGCATCTTCCTGTCTCCTCAAGTGCAAATCCCCCACTTAAGCAGCTATTGCTCAGGCTAAATGTTCACGGATCCCTGCCCTGTCATGTACAGGTAGTCCTCGATTTACAACAGTCCATTTAGTGAACATTTAAAGATGCAACAACACTGAAAAAAGTGACTTGCGATCCTTTTTCACCCTTACGTCCATTGCAGCATCCTTATGGTTGCAGGATCAAAATTCGGACGTTTGCCAACCAGCACGTATTTATCATGGACGCAGCTTCCCAGGGTCACGTGATCACCTTTCGGGGCCTCCTGAGAAGCAAAGTCGATGGGGAATCCAAATTCACTTAATAACTATGCTACTAACTTGAAAACTGCAGTGATTCACTTAACAACTATGCCAAGAAAGATTGTAAAATGGGGCAAAACTCACTTAAAAACTGTCTCACTTAGCAAAATAAATAAAAATAAATAAGAATTGGGGCTCAATTGTCAAGGACTACCCGTATTTCCAATGTTGTTTAGAATGCTGGGAGATGGAGAAGTTGTAGGAAGCATACCTTCCACCTAAAAACTAAAATGTTTCCCCCAGGGACGAGAGAGTTCCCTTCACAGGTTGCCCCCCCTCTCCCCCGGGACAGGTGGAGGAGCTTCATCCTGGGCTCTCAGCCCTTCTTTCCAATTCTGGCAGGAGATTTTGCAATTCCTCCAGCATGCAACAAGGGCCACAACTATGCCCAGAGTTTCTCCTCTACGCTGAGGCAACTCGGATGGGGCCTCAGCCCTTTCAGTCCCCACTGAGAGGCCAATGGATTGGGGGGGGAGGGGGAGGCACCTCTGGGGGAAGAGAGAAATGCTCTCCCAGGCACTGATGCGTCATGCGCCTTTAACCTGCGCTGGGTTCCTTCCTGTTTAGATAAGGAAGGTTTGCTAGACAGAGCCAAAGCAGCAGAAAAGCACAGCTACCCCAGCCAGAAGTCTGGGTGGCAGCCAGAAGGATGCCCATGTGCTCCCCCCCCCCCGCAAAATCCTTCCTGCTTCAGAGGCAGAGGGAATTGCAGGGGGTCCCAAGCAGACCCCTCACATGCCACAAAGGCAAGGATACACCGTGCCCAAAACCTACCTGCCAAATCTCATCTAATCACGATAGGATAGGATAGGATAGAAGCTGGAAGGGACCTTGGAGGTCTTCTAGTCCAGCCACATAGTCCAGCTTTATAGTATTATCAAAATCCAGCAATCAACCATTATTAAATTCCCAAGAAGATTCCCAGCTGTAGGGTTAAGAAGGAAGGAGGAAGCCAAAGGCACGTCTACCTTCTCCCAGGCCCATCTCCATTGTGCATCCTCCATTGTTTGTTTGTATCTCTCTCTCTCTCTCTCTCTCTGTGCCGGCCTGTGCCTGGAAGCAGCTCAGTCGGGAGGATTTCACCTCTCAAGGCCACCTCTCTGGGAGCCGGCAGCCCGCCCAGACTTACCTCATGGCCACGTTGCTCCCATCGATCACGATCGGGCGCAGGTGATCCCCCTCCTGCTCTTCCGGAGGCGCAGGCTGGGTCGGGGGGCTGCCGGGGGCGGGCCGCGCCCTCGGGACGGGCGGCACCTCGGGGCCCTCCGCCGCCGCCTGCGCCGGCTCCCTCTCGCCCGGGGCCGCCCCGTGCTTGACCAGCTCCCCGAGGATGGTGTTGGTGTCCGCCTCCGGGCCGTGCTTCTGCAGGGCGCCCAGCACCTCCTGCGAGGAGTAGCCCAGCTTGCGGAAGAACTCCACCTTCCGCCGCCTCTCCGCCCGGCCCTGCTCCGGGGGGCTCCACGGGCCGGGCTCGGCCCCGCCGGGGTCTCCGCCGCCCTCCAGGCTGCAGCCGCCGCACAGGCTCAGGTAACCGCTTTCCGGCTCTTCCCGGCCGCGGCCGGCGGCGGCGCGGGCGAAGGGCAGCGGGGGCTCGCTCCAGCCGGGGAAGCGCAGGGCGCTGGGCGGCCGTCGGTCCAGGTCCATGGCGGCTCCTCGGGCGCTGCTCCTCGCTCAGCGCCGGCCTGCCGAGAGAAGCGCACAACTAGCACGGCGGCCCGACTGGGGAGCCACGCGCGCCCGCGGGCCGGGTCGGGCCGTCCCGAGCTCCTCCCTCCCGCCCTCCGAAGAGGGGAACCGGCCGCCCGCCCAGCCGAGAGCGCCGCTCCGCCAGCAGGCCCGGCAGGAAGCGGGGGAGGGCGCGGCGCTTGCCCGACACGCGGCCCCCGATCGGGCTTCCCGAAGCGCGGCTGGGCAGGGAGCAGCGCCCGCGCCGGGATCGGAGCCGGGCTTTGGGACCAGCGCCCTGCCGACTCGCGCGGAGGGAGACCCCGCTACCCCCGAGCCGCCCCGTCGCTTACCGGGCGCCTCCATGGGGCCGAAGTGTCCCCGTCCGCGCGCGGGCGCCTCTTTATAGGGAGTCTCCGCCGCCGCCCCCTGCGCCGCCTCCTCCGGGCTCGTCGGGGGAAGGTCTCCGCGGGAGAGGCGCGGCGGGCGGGGCCGGGGCTTGGCGGGGCCGCGGGCGGGTTGCTTCACGGGGTTGTTGGGAGCGCTGGATTGCGAGAGATGCGGGCCCGGCGCTCCCGTCGGCGGCTCCTCTCGCCTCGCCCTCCCAGGGGCTTGAAACGGCCGAGCGGGGAGTTTGCCTGCCGTTCTCAACTGCAAGACCGAGGGCCGCCTTCAAGCAGGGCCGCTTCAGTCCCGGGGAGAGGCCGCACCCTCGGGGGGCCCGTCTGAACGACCGCCTGGCCGCACAGCGCCCCGAAAGCGCTCCGGAGCTGCCGCCTCGCGGGGCAGGACGGGGCTGGGCTCCTCCCGCTGAGCAGCCCCGGGAAAGGGGCGCGTCCCCGGGGGATCTCTAGCCCTGGCAGCTCCTGGGTGGCAACTCCGGTTTAGCGACAGGCAAATGAGCTCGTCGGGGCCGGGACGAGACCGCTTCTGGAGGCGGCACGTCGGGGGCAGCCCAACATCTGGACCGGGCTCGGACAAGGGGGCGCGCGGCTCGGCCTTAAGGGGAGCCGTGGATGAGCCGGTGGCGGAGGAGCCCAGTGCGGGGCTGCTTCGGCGCGGGAAGCAGGACGCGCCCGGGGCCGAACCGCGGGGGCGGGCGGGGCGGGCTCTCCGGCCTCGTCTTCCTACTCGGACCGCCCGCCGAACCCGCTCTCTGTCCAGGGCAAGGGTAGGCAACCTTGGCTCTTTTATGACTCGGGGACTTCAACTCCCACAATTCCTGAGCCAGCAGGGCTGTCTCAGGAATTCTGGGAGTTGAAGTCTCCGAGTCATAAAAGAGCCAAGGTTGCCTACCCCTGGGGGGCGGGGGCGGGTTGCGGCGTTCCCGCCTCCGCCCGCCCGGGATTGGCCGCTGCCTCGGCCGCTCCAGCATCGGGCGGTGGCGCAACAGCCCGGGAAGGCGGGGCTTCTCGGAGGACACCCGCCCCCTCTATGCAAAGCAGGGCGCCCGAGGCCGGGGAAGAGCCGCCTGCCGGGCCGGAAAGGGCTCCCCGGGGAAGAGCGGCGCCCGCTTCCTGGTTTCGCTGGGCCTTGGCGCCCGGGCCTTGGGCTGTGGGAGTCAGGGCAGTGGCCGGTTGCTTCCCCGGAGGAGAAGTGGACCTGGCGGGGGAGGGTGAGCGGCCTTTAAGACCTTGAGGGCCTCATCCGGAGCATAAACTCCAAGACCACCGGTCTAATAAAGAGGGAGCGAGTGACAGGAAGAAAGAAAAAACCTCAGACACGAAGGAAGGAAGGAGAGAGAGAAAGAAAGGAGGGTACCCAGGAAAGAAAGAGAAAGGGAAGGAAGGAAGAGCAAGCATGGAGGATACCCAGAGTGAACCATACAGGACTCAGATGTCTCTACAGCAGCGGTTCTCAACCTGTGCGTCGCGACCCCATTTGGGGCCCAACGACCATTTCACAGGGGTCACCAAACAACGCGATCCGCCATTTTTTCCCTCAGCCGGTGCAGGGGGCGTCGCCACGCATGCGTGCCACGCAGGGGGCACCGCCACACATGCGCACCGCCTCCTTATGACCAGGGTCGCCGGTATAAAAAGATTGAGAACCACGGCTATATAGGAACGCTCAAAGTTTAGGGAACAAACAGGGTGAACTTGAAGTACTAATACATGGAGGCAGCTGTGATATAGTTGCCATTACTGAAAGTTCATGGGGTGCAACTCATGTCTGGAACCTACCGATGGAAGGATATAAACTATTCAAAAGTAACAGACCCAACAAAAAGAGGAAGTGGAGTTGCATTATATATAAAAGATCACTACATCTCTGCAGAAATCCACAAAACCACGGATGAAAACCTCTTAGAATCCATATTAGTCAGTATAAAAGGAAAAAAGGATTGACATTGCTGTAGGCGTATATCACAGGCCACCCAACCAAACAGAAATAGATGAACTTTTTTGCTAATCAATTAACAAATGTATGTAGTAATGGGAGACTTTAACTACCCTGATATCAACTGGGAGACAAACTGCAGCAAGTGGGAGATTGAACAGGTTACTGATCAGCCTAGCTGATAACTTTGTCATCCAAAAGGTAGAGGAAGGAACTAGAGGAAAAGCTATACTGGACCTAATTCTTACTGACAAACAAATGATAGACTGGGATGAAATTGAAGGAACTTTTGGGGGAGATTGACCATGTCATGTTGAAATATAATGCAGACACAAGCAATAGAACATAATCAAATCAGTGTCTTAGGTTTTAAAAGAGCTGATTTTGACAAACCTAGAGAGAGCTTGGGAAGGATTGCATTCATGAAAATCTTTTAAGGAGAAAATAACTCAAGAAGCTTGGGAAAAATATGATTATAAAAGCCCAGTCCAGTGAAATACCACTGAAAAAGAAAAATAAGAAATCCAAGAAGAAACCAGCATGAATGCACAAAGAATTTTTTGATAACCTGAAACATAAAAAGGATAAGTATAAAAAATGGATAGTGGGACACATAACTAAGACAGAATACCAACACAAAGCCTGAATCTTCAAAGCTAAGGATCAGAATGAAGTAAGGTTTGCAACCGATGTAAAAAATAAGTTTAAAAAGTTAAAAAGCTCAGAGAGCACCAAGGAGCCCTCAAAGTAGACCACAACCTACTTCTTGGTAAACTAGAAAAATGTGGGTTATGCAGCATCACCATCGGATGGATTTGCAACTGGCTGACAAACCACACTCAATGTATAGTCCTTAACGGAACTACATCTATATGGAGGGAAGTAAGCAATGGGGTAACCCAAGGTACCAAGGAAGAGATTGGACAACTATTTATCTGGAATGGTAAAGGGTCTCCTGCTTCAACAAGGAGTTGGACTAGACCCCCACGGTTCCTTCCAGCTCAGTAATTCTGCTCCCACTATAGTCACATTTCTTCCTCCCTCTATAAAATAGCAGCAGCCAAACAACAAAGAGGCTTAGAATCTGAAAGCGGAAGCTGCTCAATGTTTGATGCTATCTTAAGCAAAAAAATCCAAACTCTGCACACTTCCTGCTTTCCCCAGAGTGAGCATGAGCCACCCACCACTTCTGGAGGGCAGGAGCGCATGACCTCACGTCCCCTCCCCCACCTCTGCAACGAATGCAGAATGGTTGTTTTCGGACAAAGGAAGAGAAGACGAGGCGCATGTCTGCCACCCTTTATTGTGTTGTGGGGCAGTTTTCTCTGCTGCAGCTGGCAGAGGTGGCTGCAGGGCAGGAAAGCTCCTCCTCTTTGGTTCCGGGTGGCTGCTGTGCACAGCCGTTTTTTCCTAGGCCTCTGGCTGGCTGCTTTGCTCAGCCTTCCAAGCCTTTGGGGTTCAGATGTGCTGATCCCTTGACATCCAGAGCATTCTTGATTTTTAGCTGATTTGTTTATATACGTACAGTGAGAATTCAGCCTCTTACAGGTTGTCCTCGACTTAGCAACAGTTCATTTAGTGACCGCTCAAATTTATAATGACACTGAAAAAAAGTGAACTTATGGCCATCTTTCATTGTTGCAGCATCCCCAAGGTCGCATGATCAGAATTCAGACGCTTGGCAACTGACTGGTATTCATGATGGTTGCAGGGTCCCGTGTGTGTGTGTGTGTGTGTGTGTGTGTGTGTGTGTGTGACGTGATCCCCTTTTGCGAACTTCAGACAAGCAAAGTCAATGAAGCCAGGTTTCACTTAACAACCACATAACTAAACTGCAGTGAAATTTTGGGCTTAATTGTGGTCGTACATTGAGGACTACCCTGTACTTATGCTGGGGATTGCACATTGCCAAAATGTCCCTCAGCTTTTGTTACTTTACCTGCTTTGAGAAAAACTCTCCTCAGAATTAAAGTGTCCTGGCGCCCCCTTGTGGAGGCCCAGTAAAAAGGCCTTTCTTGCATCTTCCTTGTTCAGCTCCTAATCTGTGCTGCGTTGTGTCCCAGGAATTCAGCAGCTGCCTTTTGTATGATCTGCTGCCGCTTGCAAACAATACGCTGTTTAATTATGACTTTTCTTCGGCTCAAGGAACTACTTTCCAATTTTTCAAATTAGTCCATTATTAGGCCCAAACAGATCATGCCAGAGAAATCTTATTGCCTTGTTTGATAAGTGACTAAATTAGAAGATCAAGGAGATGTTGTGAACATAGGTTGGACTTCAGCAAGGCATATGACCAAGTAGGCCACCATCTATTTCTTGGTAAGATAGAAAAATGTGAGGTAGACAGCATCACCATCAGATGGATTTGTAACTGGCAGTTCAACCACACTCAATATGTAGTCCTTAATGTAAGACCACACTAGGAATACAACATCCAGTTCTGTTCATCATAGTACAGAAAAGGTACTAAGACTCTAGAAAGAGGGCAGAGAAAAGCAGTAAAGATGAAAAGGGGTCTGGAAGCCAAAATGCAAGAGTGGAATTTCTATTTTTGTTGAGATGATCTAACATTGCATGGGAAGGGGGAGGCGGAGGGGAGAAGAGAAAAGAAGGGGGAGAGCTAAAGCAAGAAAGAGGAGAAGGGGAACATTACCTGTTTCAGAGAAGAGCCGTGAAGATTTGTAGTCCACTTAGGGAACTAGAAATGAAATACCCTGAAGAGAAATGGAAGAAACTAGACGGGAATTTTGACAACACTTTTCAAGTACATAGAAGAAGATGCCATACTTTCCCCATTTCAGAATGCAGAACAGAAGAGAGTTAAGTTACAGTACAAGAGAAAGCCAATTTGGTACCATGGTGAAGGCACCAGACTGGGAACAGGGAATTCTAGTTCTGCCTTGAGTACAAAGCCAACTGGGCTTTGAGCCAGTCATTCTCTTTCATCCCTAGGAAGGAGACAATGGTGAACCACTTCTGAGAAAATTTGCCAAGAGAACTGCAGGGACTTCTCCAAGCAGTCTCCAATAATTGGACACAACTGAATGGAAGAAGAAAAAAAAAACTAAAAGAAGACAGATTCCAACAGTAAGAGCAGCTTTGTGGCAGCGCTGGCCCCACTTCCCTGGATGTGTTTGCGTAGAGGCATCAACTCCAGAAGGCAGGACACAAAATGATGTTAGAAGGTGGGAAAATCCTCACGGGAAGAGCATTTGGGAATGGAACTGATTGTCCGGAGGAGTGGTGGATTCTCCTTCCCTCGGCTGTTCAGGCAGATGCTGAACAGCCCTATGGATGCTGGGATTTTGATTCCGGGACTCCTCAGCCCCTGGTCCAGGACCCTGAGCGATGCCATGGTCTTCCTAGGCCCTGCTAAGAAACCTGGGGTGCAGAGAGTGTCCTGATGTTGGTAGGAATGAACAGGGAGTGTCATTGCTGAAAAAGCACACTTTCTAGGAATAGGGGAAAACCAGTCATGAGAGCCATTGTAGTAGAAGGGTTCTCTTCTGCCCACAGCATGAAATGATGGACTTGTGGATCAAGCAGATGCTGAAGAAATTGGTTCTCAGAGAGGGAAAGTGCAGTGATGCGACCAACCACTGAGTGGCTCTGTTGTGCCGTGGAAGCTTCCTCCCTCCAGTGATGCTCTGAGTGCCAAGGGGCTCCCCCATGCTGAGCCCCTGAT